GAGGAATACTGGGCACGCTTGCATAGCCTAGTCCTTGGTTTTAAGCGAGTTAATCGCTAGAATGCTGTCTTGCGTTACTACCCCGAGCAGTGAGACCGTAGGAGCCTTGATCACTTCTGCCGTAGTGGTCAGATGAAGCCTATCTACTTTCCTGCGCTCCAAACAGGCTCCATTGGTGTCAGATGATTTCCTACCGGAAGAGGATTGGGCCAGAGCTTCTCACATAGTGCCTCCTAAAGCTGGAGCGAGCCCCTCTTGATGGGCGCAAGTCCCCACAGGCCAAAGAAAAGGCCGGGGGAAAGAAAGGGGGAGGGTGGGATTAGATGGATGCATGATCTTGGCATAAGGGAATGCCTCTTCCCCGAGAAAGGAGCGCGTAGTCGAGGTCTCTTTGTTAATAAGACTAACCGTTTACACCCTTTATTTTTATATTGCCTAAATAAAAATAAACATAAATAAAAATTAACCTTTCTAATGTGTAACCCGGGCTTGTTTTTCCTGCAGGCCACTTAAATTAGAAAAACACACAGTGTTTGTTTTTCTTTTGATTGAAACAACTCTTCACCCCTTGTAGGACAACTGAGGATCTGTGGTTTCAATTCTGTAAACTATATCTGCAATAGCATCATTGCATTTGTACCTACAGAGCTAATTTTATGCTCTCTTATAACCAGATGGTTTAGAGCTCCTAAGTGGTCCTGGGGGGTGGAATTCAACTGATGCTCCTTTCCCTAATAACTGGGATTCATACACACTGCTTTATCAATTTCCCTAATGATAGAAGTGTTTTTTTAGTAAGTCATGTGTAAGAGGCATAATGTATATATAGTATTGTTGTTCTTGGTGTGTGTTTTGATTATTAGGGCAAGAAGGTGGTAACTTTTTATTTTGGATCACCCAAGTATTGTGGAAAAAAAGAAATAAGTCCATAAAGGGTAGAAGTACTGTCTGTATTTACCATGCTAGCAGATAGGTTATCTGAGAGCTCATGCTTTCCTCTTTTTTCTTTTTTAATGAGTCTGGAGGTGTCATTTCTTAGAGATAGAAGTAATGCTGGGCAAAAAGGTGTTCTCTTATCAGAGCTACACTTAGATTACTTTTTTTGGGGGGGAGCAAATGTTGTAACGAACACTCCATTGTACTCCCAGGTTTGCATATATGGACATAGGTGCTATCTTTAACTTAAGTGCTGTTTCTTCTTGTAATTGCTTTAATGCCTGTTTTGAGAGAGTTTAACACAGAGGTTACAATGTGTGTTTATTTACGGTACTTTCATTGCTGTTTTTGTAACACCCTTGAAACAAATAGGTGGGAGAAAGGACTCGATGGATGAAACTAGATAGAAGTCTAAGATACGAAGTCAGCCTTCTGGTACATGCGCAGAATACTAAAATGAGTAGAATAAATACCTTGCTTAGCCTGTGTTGGAACACATTCATAAGCAATGCATTGAGGAACAAAACATTCGTGATTAAAGTTGTGATGGTAGTAAACTTTTTTTTTAAAAAAACCTGAATTCATATATAAAATAAGGTTATGTTTAAAAAGGAAAAAAGCATATCAGTTGTAAGGGGAATAGCATTCTAATTGTCACCAAATACTACAATGAGAGAAGTTTTCTTACTGCAGAAAGCAGTTTTAGTAAAATAAAAATCCTAAATTTCCTTAGTTTATTCACTCTGTAAATTAGATATCTCCTGCACTCCAGGTTCTTGTCTCCTCCTGCTGGTTTTTCTATAGTACTTTATATTCTTGAGGTGAAGTTGTTTCTGCTTGTACTTTCTGACCCACCTATAGATGCAGCAGGATGTTACAAAGCTGGTGTCTTTATGTTATGGGCTGCTTGCGTTCTCTTGGGAAGCATAGTGCAGAATGCCATTGCTGCAGAGGCATCATGCTGTTGTGTCACCGGCATGTGAGATAACTGCCAGAGAAGTTTTTCTCTACTCTGATTTGGACTTCCCAAAAGCTTTAGTATGAATTTTGTTTACTAAATGCAGCAACACTTATTTCCTACCTACCCTCTTCTCAGGGGTAAGGAGGGTCTGTCAAGAAGAATGTTTTGTAACTTTTAAGGCCATTTATGGAATCCATTTCTTGGTACAGCCGTGTAACTTTTATCCCTCTAGTCTTCGTATATGGAAACAGGCTTTCTTAAATCAAAATTATTAAATGGTGAGGTGAAGTACATAATTTCTTCCACTTACTCCATGCAGTCTGTCCTCACATTCCCTGACTCTTTTATTTTATTTACGTATTTTTAAGAGTTCCAGTCCTTTATTGTAGAAGTTTAGTTCTTCTTCCTATTAGTTTCTATGTTTCTGTTCCTACTCACAAAGCTTAGTGTTAAGCAGATGATGATACTTTGTATGCTGGAAACCAATACGGTTATAAGTTGCTACAATGGCCAATGGTCTTGTATGCTTCCAGATTTTCACGTTATTCTCAGTACTTGAGTTGTGTACAGAACAGCGCCATCCACATGTACGTAACTTCTAATGCTAAGATGAAATTTAGCAAGTGTCAGTTTGCTGCTACAGTTTCTCTATTCTGTACAGTTTATTCAAGTACAGAAACCTCTTCCTAAGTGGCTTGAATGTGGGGTTTGGGCAAATGGAGACTTGTTTTATTTGAGATGTAGCTTGCACTCCTTCTCTTCCTTACTGGCTTACAGCTCTGCTTTTCTAACATGCTTTGGTTAACATGTTGCCTGGTATTTCCAGCCACTATCCATAATAAGAATGGAATTTGCAGATGTAGATCGTGCTGCCCTTGAGCTAAAACACAGCCTTTTTGCAGGGGGTAGTGCTCCTCACTTGAATACTTGGGGCACAAAGGACAAGAAGCAGTTTTCATAAAGATAGATCATAGTCCTGCATGTGGAGAGGGAGGGATTCCTGAACTGTAGATATGGACATCCAGTGTTGAGGACAGGATGCCTTCCTTTGAGCTCCCTATATGCAACCCATCATTCTGTGTCATTCTTGCTTTCCTTTTGGCAGTGTGAAGATGCCCCCAGAATGGAAACAGTTGTCTGATCCTACTGGAGAAATAGCAGTGCTTCAAAAAGGGTGTCCTGGTGGGAGCTGCTTGTTAGTCTTGTGAGGCTGGTACCTCAGTAGGGCAGTCACATATGCCACTGCATATGTGATCTTCTGCAGGCACAAATGATAGGACTCTGAAACTTAAGGTTTTCATCTGAGGATATCCATGATATCCACTTGTCTGCAGGTCTCTGTCTGGGATTTGGAAATAACTGAGGGTATACTCAAGTTTAGCTACTTCACAACCTGAATTCTGATATATTCTGTACCGGTCTCATTTCTGAGAGCGGAGTACAGGGTAGCAGTCATTTACTTGTGATAAAAGCTGAGAGGATGAGAAATGTGAATGTAACATGTCTGCATTATTCTTCATGAAGTATTGCATTTCTAATAACTACAATTGGCATGCTTTTCTTCTGAAGGAGAATGTTATAATAAGGAATTTGTTCTTATCCACCCTTTCAGCTTTATGCTTTATGACTGTGTGTACATTTTAAACTTATTACAGAGTTTATGGTACATTTAGGCTGTTTGTCTTACATGTCTCATTTTGGAAGACACATGAGTTTTTTTAGTTTAATTACCTGGTTTTCAAGTTCACAGTCATAATGGATCTAAAGATTGTGAGGATGATAGCAAATACAAAATGCTGCCAAACTAAAGAGGGAAGAACAACAAAACACAGTACATAATTAGGAAGCACTAAGTTCTCTTTTCCAGAGCATTGATTTGTTTTGTTCTCTTTCCTTCAACAAGATGTAGAACCTAAATATAAAGCATGGCAGCTTAAAATGGAGCAAAAAGTTGTTTGTTTCACTGAGATAAAAACCAAACCTGTCCTTCTCCAAGAAGGATACAAGGAAAATTCCTCTGAGGGTGATTCCTCAAGGAATTCATATTGACGCAAGTGTAAACGGTCCAATTGTTGAGCAACATCTTAGCAAGATAAACTATTAAACAAATAGATTAAAGACAGGAGGAAGCGCACATTGATTGACAGAGCCTTGGGCGACATAGTTTAGCGTGAGATGTCCCTGCTCATGGCAGGGGGGTTGGAACTAGATGATCTTAAGGTCCTTTCCAACCCTAACTATTCTATGATTGTAAGAAGCTTCATGTAGTAGCATATATTTGTGAAGTAGTAATGAAAAGTAGCTAGTGCTGTTCCAATATTGGGGAGTTTCCTTTCTTTGCAGCATGGGGTTTTTTTAAATCAGAGACAATGATGTAGTGCTTTGTGTATGAAGTTGCATCAGTATTGCTCTGTTCTCCTGATAGGTTAGGTAACTTGGACTGCTTTGTTTACTACATTCAGGTGGAGGTGAAGAACAAACAAAACAAGATGACTTTTACACCTAACCAGCCACATAGTTTGGTTGGCTATGAATGTCAAAATTACATAGCTATGAAAATCAAAACTAGAGACAGATTAACAGAGTTATTTTTGACATAGTTGTTAGTATCTTGCCTTGTTGAAAGATCAGGGATGGTGACTATATTCTACCCTCTCTTTTTGTAGTTGTTGATCTTTCATTGTTGGCAGGTATTTGATTGTTTTAAGGCAACCTAACTTAATACAGTAGATCCTGATACTCTAACAGCGATAGATGTGCTGATAGAAATCATAACTTCTGGAGGACTATTCCAACGCAAGTACCTCTAAATTTTGCACCCATGCCAACTTTAGCACTGCACTTTAATGCTCCAAGTGTGGTAACCACGATCCTGTCTAATATCCAGTTACAACTGAACCTCATAAGAGTAGTGTTCAAATTCAGCCATTCATGAAATACAGTGTCTTAAGGAAATAAGGTGGAATTTTTAATGCCCTCTCTCCCCCCCTGTAGCTAGGCTGGACTTCTCCGTATTGTTGACTTTTATTTACTGTCCCATGAATAATTGTTCTCAAGATCATATTTGTAAATACTGAGACTGATTTGTTTTCTTACAGGTGCCACAAAATATACTGATAAAGATAATGGAGGGATGCTTGTATGGTCTCCATATCATAATATTCCAGATGCCAAGTGTAAGTCCTTCCCTGCTTAGGAATTTGGAAGCTTAATTGTAACTAAATACTTGTTTCTGGTGTGCCTGTTCATTCTTTATTTTTACACACAGTGAAACTGCAAATTGGTAAATTAAATACAAAGCTTCTCTTTTATTTATTTAGAGAACTCCATGGAAAGGAAAGATCACCTCTTATTTTATAGTTAAGTCTTTCTTTCAAATCAAAACCTGTGTTGATTCGTCATCAGTGTCCACAAAACCTTTAGTTATTAGTAAAAGAATAAAACATCTAAACATGAGGAACTTGCTGCTCTAAATTGCTAGAAGAAATTACAGTGGATAAATTCAGAAAAGATGTGTTGAGGCCCTATTTAAGAGGGAATTATTATTCCTGTCTTGTCAGGAAAACCTGAGCATTTTCTCCCTTCTGAAGTGATGGAACTCATCTGACTAAATGTGAACAGTTACCTGTTTAATGTAGTTTACACCTGCCTCCTATGCTGTAATATCCCATATGTAATATAGGGTCATAAACTTTGAGGATGCAGTCATGAGAACCTGGTCCTCAAGGACGTTTTCTACCTGTTACCAGTAGTTGGTAGTTGAGGGAACATACTTTCTCCTACTTCAGAACAATTAGAAATAAAATACTCTGCACCTCTGGTTACTGAACACTTCATTCCTTTAAAGTACAGAAAAAAAAAAGTCATGGCAAGGACATCTCTGATCCGTCTGAATAATGAGGATATCATTACTTCCCTTTCTCAGTCATGCTTCCTTTCAGCTATGTTCAGTTGACGCTTAACTGGGAACTGTAGAAGGTGAAGAGTGTTTCTTTAAAAACAAAAATTACCCATTGAAGATCAAAACTATCAGGACTTGCTTGCAAAGTGAGGGGAAGTGCCCAATACAAAGCTGGCTTCAGTATGGCCAAAAATCACTTAGAAAAAATGTTACCGGTGAATTTGATGACCTGATTATTCAGTCTTAATATTCTCTATTGAAAACTGACTTTGTGCTGTGGTTAAAATGAATGTTGGTCAGTGAAATCTGTGTAAATATCAAGGATGTGCATAATCATTGATCAAGAATGTCTTTACATTAATTTTTAACATGTTTGGGAATACGAACAGTAGAAGTAGTTCAATTTAAAACTAACCCAGGTGTCTGTGTTCTTTGGAGTGGGTTCCAGGAAGACATAGCATTTCAATAACTAGCTAGTCTCTGATTTAAATAAATTATGAGCCTCTGTGGCTTTGTTGTGATAAAAATGTGAAAGAAAGTATCTTTTTCACTGAGAATTAGCTTGCGTAAAAAGTTTATAAAATTAAATTAAAGACAGTGGGTTTATTATTTTTAAAGCTATGAATATATTTAAGGGTTTGGGGTATCTGGGCCTATGCAGTGTATTAAAGCATGGGAAGACCATTTTCCCATGTTAGTTGGCTAATTCTGTGTCGCCTTACAGCAGAACTAAACGTACTAAAGAATAATTCTGACATTGCTTTGTTACAGTGGATGAATATATAGCAATAGCAAAGGAAAAACATGGATACAATGTGGAACAGGTAAGTGTTATGAGAGTGCTCATTTAAAGGATTTTTTTTAATACAAAAGAATAACACAACTCTTTTTATTCTTTTCCCCTTGGTTACCATTAATTAACGCTGTTTCTCTTCAGGCACGGCAGCAAACACTGCAGTTAAATGGATCTGCATACAGTTGTGGTCTGGATTCTCTGCAAAAGATTGAGCTCTTTGTTTTCATGACATGCTCAGCTTGTAATGTGCACTTTTGAAAAGGTTTGGTATGTTTCTTGATACACTGGGCATGTCATGCAATTGTGTGTGTATATTTAGTTAAAGAATTTCTTAGGAAAGCAGCTTACAAATTTGATGTTTAATATTAGAATTCAATTATGGTGCAATTTTTAACCATTAATTGTGGTAGGGACACCACTGGGAAGGTTTCTTGTATACTTAAGAAAGACAGACAAACCAACTTTAAGTGAGTGTTTTTCAGAGGCAGGAAAACAAATTCTGGGATTGAGGATAAGAAACAAGTTCATTTTGGTTTATTTCTTATAACCTTTAGTCACCATCATGTAAAAAAAGTACAGGATAAAACTTTGCTGGTCTGCACTTAGTTCTTTTGTAATTTTCTTCATAAATTAACTAATTTGTGTAAAGGTGATATTACATACTGCAAAAAGTATTTGGTGTACAAGTGGAAATGAGTTGCATGATCAAGTTTTGGACGACGGAAGTTCATAATAGCAATGACTTGCTAGTCAGCTCCTATCTGAAAGAGGCTGCCAACGTTGTGATGTCCAGAATACCTGCAATTTGGTGGTATTTTTTTCTGGTTTGGCTTTTATTAGGGGAGAGAGGGAACTGAGGGATCTCAAACTAAGTCCACAAAAAAGACCAATTTCCAAAATAACTTCTGGTACAAAATATTTTTAGAGTGTTCACAGTGGAATAAAAATTATCTTTGCAAGAGGTTTCTTCTCACTTGCCATTTTAACAAGAAAAGAGGGTTGCTATGTCCAGGTTATTAGATGTGAAGTCAGGGGTTTGGAGAGCTGATGAACAAGTAGTGATCATGTCTGCACTATATCATAGGTAGAACCATACGTGGGAAAGGACCTTAAAGCTCATCCAGTCCCAACCCCCTGCTGCAAGCAGGGAAACCTTCCACTAGAGCAGGTTGAGACTGAGGTATGGTTGAAACTTGAGTGGATTGCATTTCCAAGGGTGAGACTTGGCTTCAAATCTGTCATTGGTTCTCTGGCAGAAAGTCTATTCAGCTTTAAGAATATAAAGAAATTAAATTGTGTAAGAAAGTATAGTTAAATTTCCATTCCTTATTAGGTGCACATGACATGGAAATGGCCGTGCTGTTATTTGTGGATTGGAGAGTTGTAGAAAGACCACTCTCACTTTGAACTTTCAGAGTTGCATTTTGGATGATCCTCTGGCTGCTGAAAAGTATTTTTATTTTCTTTTTTGAGTGGGCTGATAATAAAGGCCTGAAGACCTGTAAGGAACTGTGTACGTGATACATGCTTGTGAAGGACGAAAGCAGGTCAGATTTGAGCCTGTCAGCCTAGTTCATGCTATTTCAGAATTACTGCTGCCATGCCAACTTTAAATTGTCTAGCTTTCATACCTTTAATAAGGTACAGATGTGCCAACTCTTCATATTGTCTCCAAAGAGAATGCTGTAACCTATAGTACATAGTTAATAAAATTGTAAATACCTTTTGAGAAGGGGTTCTAATAGCCAAATTTTATTTAAATATATAAATTGCCTTTTTTTTTTTTTTTTTTTTTTTAACTTGTCTCAGTATTTTAGAAAGCTGACTAAATCCAAAAAGGGACTATTTCTTTTCAAAGGCTCTCGGCATGTTGTTCTGGCATAAACACAATATTGAGAAGTCCCTTGCGGATCTGCCCAACTTCACTCCTTTCCCTGATGAATGGACGGTTGAAGATAAAGTCCTATTTGAACAAGCATTTAGCTTCCATGGAAAGAGCTTTCACAGGATCCAGCAAATGGTAAAGTGATATTTTAATCAGAAGCATTAAACAGTTAAATGTACTAAGAACTAAGGCTCCTGTTGGGTTAAAGTCTCACGATTTCTGTGTAAAAGCTTCAGGAACAACCTTGAATGTAAGATTTAAGTTAATTTCATCATGTCTGTTGGACCTATTGGTTTTTCACTCCATCTAATAAAACCTCCCCTTCTCCTTTAAAAAATATACAAAATACATCCCTCCTTTCCATCTCATCCATGCATTTAAAATACCTGGGTAAAGGTGGTTGTGAAGAGAGCAGAATTACAATCTTGGGGTGCAGTTTTAATTTTAACAAGTATTAACATGTATTGAATTCTTCTAGCTTCCAGACAAGACTATTGCAAGCCTTGTAAAATACTACTATTCTTGGAAAAAAACTCGCTCTAGGACAAGTTTGATGGATCGACAGGCTCGAAAACTAGCTAATAGAAATAATCAAGGTGACAGGTAAGTTTTATATTCTTAAGTAGCTAACCAGAGATTGAAATCTTTGTAAGTAGAAATGTCAGGGTAATTTCCATCCACAATGTTTCAGCATGAACCATATTTTTAGGTTTGAGCATCATTTAGCAAGGGGTTTGGTACCTGTGTTTTAAGAACTGTATCACTGCAGTCGTGGGTGGTGGTGTAAGTACTTTAATGGGTAACTGTAAAAAACAAGAGTTTAAAAAAACCTGAAGTCTGGGAATGTGGTTTACAAGTAATGCTTTATTTGAGTAGTCTAACCCTATATTTTTGTGTGGGGAGTACAGTGGGTTTGTGGGTGGGGGATTTTCTGTGGTCTTTTTTTCTTGCTTGGTTGTTTTGTTTTTTTTGAACTAGAATGGAGTTAAAATTGAAAGATCAACCACTATAATGAGCTGTAGCAATTAGAATGCCTAAATACTGATTTATAACAAAGCTTTACATAAAATCTTATTTTAGGAAACTTAGAACCACCATCGGTCAAAGAGAATTATGGCTCAAAATAGTTTTAAATTGTCTTGAATAGAAGGAAATGACGTTTCCCCTAGTTACTATGAAATTAAAATTACACTGCACTTATTGCACTGGAGTATTAACTTACATTTCTTTTTTTAAAGTGATTTTATATGTTGAATGTGTAAGTAACATCATCATGTTTATGTTGGAAAGTATGATCTTACATCTTCAGAAAACTGTCTACCTAGAGCAAAAGTGTCTTATTCAATTATATGTTATTGAAAAGAACTCCTGAAATCTAAAACTAGTATGCTTACTTCTGACCCTGTAGCTGAAAAATTACAGAAGAAAATCAGTTTGCTGCTAATACAGCATTTTTTGATTTATTCCTTAAGAGCTGGAAAGCTTTGTGGTATTCTTACATTCATTTATTCAGAAATCATATTGTGTGAATAACTGGATTGGACTCAACTAAACTGTTATATCTGTTCAACCTTTTCTCTTTGATTTAATTCAGCAACTTTCATTCCCCTCCCCTCCAATTACTAGATCTTGAGCACTTTGGTGACAAGCAGTCCTGGGTTTTCCCATCTTACATTGTCCCCTTTTGCTCTGCACAGACTAATGTGGCACATGAAAGGTTATTTGTAGCTTTGGTATAGTTGATCACATAAGTGTTCGTGCTGGCACAAGTGGTTCAATTGAAGAAAGGTGACACCAAAATATTTCAGCAGAGCAGTACCACTACTGTTTATAAAGTAATTTTGAAACTACAGTTTGGGATTGCTTGTTTATCATCATAATTATTAGAATTTAATAGAGGAAATATGTTTGTAACAGCTCTCTTTTGAAAACTACAAGTAACTTTGAGATGCTATATACTTGGATAATTCTGTCTTTCTCTGATACATATTTATATTTGGGGTTAAAAAATAGATAAAATGACCAGCTTCTTATAATCTGTCCTCAGTGATGATGACGTAGAAGAAGCTCATCCAATGGATGGAAATGATAGTGATTATGATCCCAAAAAAGAAGCCAAAAAGGAGGTAACAGATAGCTTAACGGTGAATGTCAGTTTGTTTGTTTTCTGTGAATGTGTTACTGTGGAGAGCATGACTTGTAGTGAAGAGGTTTAGCTTGTAGCCCACTGAAATCACAGGGGTTTTAGGTGATCAATATCTTGACAACTTCTGATTGGTGAAACAACATTCCCCCTCCCTCTGTCTTGTTAATGTGCTTACAGTTTTACTAGTTATGAGTTATTGAAATCTAAATTTTTTTTTCTTGTGTTTTAAAATTAAATGATGTTTTTCCAACAATAAGTTCCTTCAAAGCCACAGGGAGGTTGTGCTTTTCAACTAATATGTGGCTTTACTGAGATGCTTTCTACTAATAGATGTAGAGAGAAACATTTTTGCCTCATCTAATGAGCACTTACTGTTAGCTTTACAGACAAGTGCTGTGTTTGGGGTATGTTCAGGTTTTGGGTTTTTGGGGGGTTCTTTTGTTAAATATTATTTATGAATAAGACTGGAAAAACAGTTAAGTGTGCAAATGTTTATTTCCTTTATTAACTTAGTGCACTTATGATTTCCTGTAACAGGACAGTTCATGCTTCTTGAGAATGTGAGAGGAGAGGTAGTGCAAAACCTCAATATTCTCATGAAGTGGTATCTATGATTAGTAATAAACTTTGCAGTTCTATAAAAAATGATGTTGAATAAGAGACTGAGAGGTTTAGATTCCATTCTCAGCTTTGCAATGACCTTCAGTGTATTGCTATATCTAATGCCTCAAGAAAAAGGACAATTACAATTACTCCTTTCTGTAGAAAGAGCTTTTTGGGTGTTTTTTTAATGTGCCAGGATGTTTCTTAGAACTTGAAATGGCACAAGGTCTAATAATGAACCTTTTTACATTTCATTCTGCTGCTGTAACAATGTTCTCGCAATCTGTTGATTTGAGTTGCTGCATAAGCCACTTCTAAATAAGGGCTATTTTGTTCAATTTACTTTCCTTGGTTATTGTTTGAATTGCTACATGCAGTCCAAAATGAAAGCAGTTTCTTGATAGACTTCTAGGAACAGAACAAACAGGTTTGCAGTTTCTGATGAGCCGTTTGGATCTACATAAGATAATTTTGTGATCTAGTATTTCTGGTAGGATTTGTGTACTTTCAGTTTCTAAGCAAAATATAAACTAGGTAGGCTAGTTGAATGTGCAGAGCAATGGGAACTTTCTGTTACTAGGAAAGACTAAAACAAGCCAAACACTCTAGTTTGGCAAGACAAAAGCTTGAGAGAATATTTTTCACTTTAAATCCAGATTGAGCTGACAGGAACTGAAATTTCATACTGAGAGAGCAATGCAGAACCAAAACCCAAATGGCATAAGTGGTCCAGAAGTAAACTTAACCTTGGGATTTTTAGATGTCAGAGACTTAATGCTCTATATCAACTTTCCAAGGAGGAGCAAGTATCTTAAGTGCAAATATCTTAAATGGCCTCTATGAAGTCTCTGGACTGGATTAAGATGTTACATTAGCTGGGAAGAGAATGTGGCAGAAGGTCAAGCATAGTAGAGTAAAATACTGTTTGCTGATCTGTACTAATACCAGAAAACATATTAATAGTGGCTGCTGCAATTCGTTTTCTCTTCATGGTGATCAGATAACCACCTCCTCTTAACTTGCATGGATGCCAGCAGGGAGGAGCAGTAGGGAGCTGCTCGAAGTAGCCTGAATCTCGTCTCTGTTCTGGTACTGAGCATTGCTTTGAATTGGAAAACCCTTTCAGGAAAAGTAATTTTTGCTTCTGTACTTCTGGTTTGTAGGGAGCTTATATGGTTGCTCTATGGGAGTCACATACATGCAGTCTAGCTGTTGTGCAGCAGTGCTTATTGAAAACAAAGCTGAAATTTTTAGGTGTCCAAACATGTCAACACAGCAGTTACAAAGCCTTCATCTCCTCTTTGCTATCCCTTTCCACTTCAGAAAGCAAACAACAAAGGCTTAAGTTTGCTAAATTACATAGATTTTTATAATAACTGCCAAAGTACATCCGTCCTTTCTCTGCCAAATCTCAAATCCTCTCCCAAAACAAAACAGCGCTATCACTTCCCATAGAGTGCTTACAGCAGGGAAAAGTGTCATCTTGCATTCTTGTCCTTCCTGGTTGACTCCAATTCTTCTCCCTTGATCTTCACCTGAACTCTTCATATCTGATCAGAAATAAATGTGTAAGTTCACTGATTACTTCGTTTGAATGTGTAATATATACGTATGTATTCTTTACCTTCTGCTTACATAAGAGGTTCTTGATTTTTGCTCTCTTTCACAGTATTCAGAGTGTTTTCTATACTATTTATTGTGTTTTCAGCCATGTTTAAAGAAAAGGTTTGAAAACTGACTTTTCCAAGACTTAATGCAGGCTTATCCAGTAAATGCTCTATCAGCTCATCTGCAAGTCTTAGCTTGGATACTCCATGCAGAGGAGGATGTTAGCTTAGGTTATCTTTGTCATAAATATGACATTAAAATGCTATGTGATACTTTAATAAAGTTGTATACAAGATACTGTTATTCTTTAATGATTTATTTCTTGTAAATTAAAGGGCAATAATGAGCAGCCTGTTCAGACCAGCAAAATAGGTCTGGGTAGAAGAGAGTATCAGAGCTTGCAGCATCGCCACCATTCTCAGCGTTCCAAATGCCGTCCACCAAAAGGCATGTACCTGACCCAGGAAGATGTGATAGCTGTTTCCTGTAGTCCCAATGCAGCCAACACAATTCTTAGACAGCTGGATATGGAACTAATCTCATTAAAGCGACAGGTACCACGGGTTATTGGTCTTGTTTTGTTTTCATCTCAGATTGTTCTGATTGTAATGATTTTGAAGATTATCTGTGAAGATTCTGAAACTTCTTTAATGTGAGTCTTCCTAACTTTGTTATCACCAGAAATGCTGGACACTAGCTGACTAGCTGTTCTTTGCTTTATATTTTTATGTTAATAACATGGAACAAGACAACTTCCTTTTAAAAAGAAAAAAGAGGGGGGAGTATGGCATGAAAACAATATTACAGATTTGGGGGCAGGAGAAAACTGAAGTCTCATTTGGTGTGATTTTTTTTAACTTCATTAGAAGTATTTGTGTAACAAGGGAGAATAAGACCAATGAATCAGAGGAAGTTACATTTATTATGCTTAAAATTGTAGCTGTTTTTCTGGATGTCCTTCCCCACATACCCATGAAGAGGGTGGGAGGGGGGAGGAAATCATGGACTTAGTTATTTCTTTCTTTGAGCTTTCTAACTCTTAATTAAATTTAGAAAAGCTTCGTAGTCCTCACCTTTAAGAGGACAACTGCCTGCATCCTTTGCATGAAGAAATGAACTTTTGGCACTTTACGTTGAAACACAGAGTCTATTCAGCTTCTCAGGGTACAGCAGTATGTGCATGTTTGCTTTCTAGGAGTGATGGGGCTACAGAGTCAAGGCTTATCTCCTGGAATTTCTGCCTCCTTATAGATTACTAAGAGCTGCCATCTTGCAAAACCATGGAGTGAATAAAGGGTTTCATGGGGTTTTTACTCCCTTACATTCTTTTACAGGAGAAATATGCTTCTTTCTGTCACAGCAGGACTCTGGGGCTCAATAGCATAGGTGGGTTTCACTCTTTAGCCTTAGTGTAGGTGAGTTAGAGCCTTGAGGTTGTGTTTCTCCTTTTTTTTTTTTTTTCTTGCAGTGATCTCAGAGGTGCAGCCTTTGGAATCTCCCACTGAGTTGTCTGCTTTTGTGTCCATACTTAAGAACACTTGTAATAGCTGTGCACCATAGTATGCAAAATTATTTTCTTACCTATGTTACCTTATATGCATCACTGTCAGGCTGAAATGCATAATACATACGTGTATGTACGATTTGGAAACTCTCTCCTTTTTATAGACTAAGTTATTTTATTTAAATACTTCAGATCATTTCAGGAATCACCCTGAAAGGAAATCATGTTGATCTAGGGTCAGTAAAAAGCAGTCTTGTGAGAAGGAACCAACTGGAAACATCTTGTAAATATCTTATTTTTTATTTTTTTTTTTTCTTTTTCCCCTTAAGTGCTTTTTTGGAGAAGGAAGAAGTTACTTACAGGACATCTCACTTAGATTCCAAAGAAACAAATTTTGTGTCTAGAATACTCTGCATTCTTCTTCAAGAACACACACATGGTTATCAAAACTTGCTTGTTATGTCCTACTTTTAATATTCCTGCAGACAAACTGTTCTTTTGAAAGACTGGCTTAAATATTTTTCTCTCCATAGTAAACTATGCTGTATTTTTTTAAGTTTTTTTTTTTTTAAACAGTTAAAAGTAGTGAAGCCTTAAACCATAATATTTCTCTTTCTAACTTAGGAGGTACACTTGTGGCAATCCTAGTGAAGATATATGTGTAAAGTGACCAACTTTCTTTGTGGAGCTGATTAACTTTGTTGTTTTTGACCAAGGTTCAAAATGCTAAGCAAGTAAACAGTGCACTTAAACAGAAAATGGAAGGCGGGATTGAAGAATTCAAACCTCCTGAGGTAAATCAGAATAAATATTAGAACTTGTGGCCTTGCACTTGCATTGGTAGGAAGCTGCAGAAATGTATTTTGCTGCAGCATGATGTTTGCACTGCAGCAGCAGCTTAAAACAGGATCCATTGAATTACATGCTGGGGTGAGTCTGGCTTCTTCACAAGGAATTAGTGGTAGGCTTTTTTTTTATGCAACTGGCTGAATAAAGAACCGGAAAAAAATGAAATGCCATGTGTGTTCATGAGGATAGGGAGCTAACATTGAGCCCTGATACATGGGTTGGGGTTTTTTCCTGATTAAAAGTAGATCATGAAGATTGCTAGCAGTAAATTCTATGTTCTGTGTGAAAACATGGCTATATACATTTGGGCATCCGAAGTGAATGACTTATTACTACTGAAGTTCTCTTTTTGCTTGTTTTAAAGGCTTGGATATGAAACAAAACACTCCAGACACCAAGTCCTAATAGTTTAGATAAATGTAGCTGTAAATTCAAATTCTGTCTGCTTAAAGATCATTAGCTGGTGCATAAGTTATGATATAGCTAATACTAAGAACTGCAATAAAATGGAGGAAGAACTGTTGGTGTAGTTCTAAGCTCAAGTTGTTAAATGCTACTTCATCTTCATGAAAGCAATCTTGAACTATAAATTTATGGTTTCAATCAAGAGATTTTTACCTATGTTACAAAATGTAGTGCAAGTAAAACACGTTCTGATGCTCAGATATTATGCAGCTGTTGAAACATTTTAATAATCTTTGTGCCATTTTTCTAATTTTAATAGTCTAATCAGAAAATCAATGCCCGTTGGACCACAGAAGAGCAGCTTCTTGCAGTACAAGGTATGTTAATAGCAGTAGTAATTTGCAATCTGATGCAAAGGATTTGAAGAGGTACTCAGGCTTATGCTTTTATTTCCCTGCAATGAAAAGATGAACTTTATCTGGTCTTACAAGTCAGTCACTGGGAAAACAGCAAAAGTAGAGAGCATATTTAGAGCATTCATTCAAGCAACATGACACTAGTCTTTCAGTTACCCATATTAAATCTTGAATAGAAAAGCTAAGCTGAGTTTAACAACTGTAGTAGTACCAAAAATGTCCCTTCAATCATCTTCTAAATCACCTTACATGAATTGCTCTAAAGCGGAAGACTGAAGTAATAGTTCAAGCAATAGAATTTGAAGCAAACACTTAAGACATCTCTCTGTACTCTTAAAGCAGAAAAAAACCAGAAGTAAAACTGCTTTACAGTTAATTTCCTCTCTTCATGAGGGAATAAAAAACCTGATACGTACCCAGTGGAGGCCTTTTAAGAGCCTGAAGCTGGATATGGATACTTGACTAACAATCGTACTGGAGAAAAAAATGCCTCCTAGTAGGCTACTGAAACCACTAATTTGCAGTTATTTCATTTACGTGAAAGAAAACTGACTCTTGTCTTGCTTTAACATGTTCTGCCTAACATGCGAGGGAAATATCTGGAGAGCTTATCACTGTCATGAAGACACGATACATTGACTCCTATGGATCATCTTATTTAAGTTAATATAATGAGCTCAGTTATACACATCTGCTTTATTTGTCTGTATTTTACACCTTTCAAATGGAAAGGCTGAATTTTAGTATAAGAACTTCAGCTGGATCAGGATATCAGTGTAAAGTTGTCAGGTGTACCGTAACTGGTAGTTATTAGCCAGATGACTGGACCTGAAGTTAGGTTTGTTTTGAGCTGCTCATGGAAATGCTGTGTCTGAACTCAACATGCCTCTCAACTCGCATGGGTCGAACTGGGATTTGCATCTCCAAACCATTCTCTGTCCTAAGTTCATCCTCTCAGTATTGCCAACAAGCTCAGTTGTTTGTTTTTCCTTTTGTTCCCAAGTGCAGCTGAAGGAGATGCCTATTTTTAATATGATAGTCTAGTAAGTAGAATGTTTGCTGGAGAGGTGGGAGAAGTCCAGATTCATTGTGCTTGTTTTAGCATGAAAGGATTGAAATGATCTTGCATTTTCATAGTTTAGTTATTGGAGGTCTCACTAAGCATCAGTTTGAGAAGTGATAAAAACTCATTTAGCTTTTGTTAAGTTATGGTACTATAAGACCCACAAGGCAGATTATAAAGATGGAGCATGGACAGAAGAGAATGAGGGTTGGTGAGGACTGCTTGGAGAGGAGTTCTAGTCTTCGGGTCTCTTCTGTAGGGAATGTTTTGTGTTTTATCGAGGTAGTCAGCCTCAGTCCTTAAGGGTGGGGTGAGAAATGAGGCCTTACGGAAGAAACCTGTTTTCATTGAATTTACAAGTGCTTCTTAGATGTATTGCCACCTTCTTAGTCCCCTTCCTTTGCCAGTGTATAAAATGGAGATGGGAAAGAACCCTAACACCAGGAACAAAGTATTCAAAGTATTCCCATCCTTACCTACTGCCTGGTAGTAGAGTCTCCATCGTGGAGTAAGAGTGCTGTAGGTATTAACCTCCTGTCCCTATGGCTAAGGACTCTGATCTCTTGCTTCAGAATAGTTGCTTGAGCTAGTAGACTTCTGCATGAAGGAGACATGTTGCCTTTTGCCCTGACTGTTTTCAGAAGAAAGTAGCCATGGTTGCTGCGCTAAAAGCTACAATGATGTGTGTTAGGCTTGAACTTGAAAGTTGACTTGAGCATTGGGACATTTAGTTTGTACATTTAAAACAGATGTATTTCATCAAAGTATTGGTACATTTTGGCATGTGCTTTTAATATAATTTTACAGAAATCGTAAGCATTAAGCAGGTAGGTGGCACTTCTGTGATTTGTTCACTTGAATCCAAGCATGGAAATCATAGCAATAATTTGCAGTAATATAATTTTGCTACTGTTTTTCCTAAACATGAAAAAACTCCTGTCATCTGTGGGCCAATCTTGAGAGATTGGCAGTGACTAAATAGGAGGTAATGGGAAAACCCACCTTAAAATAGAGCTGAGTGTATAATCTTAAAAGCAGTGTGGCTGCCTGCAGTTGGGTTGTGGCCTCGGAATTATGTTCTCTGAGCTGATGTCCTGCAGTAAAATTTATCTGTTACTGTTCAACTTTGTCTGAATAGTTATTGAATGTAATGGGCCAGTTCATCACTTGAGGCTTTCTTCAGTTACAAACTTGATCTATGTACAGAAATGTGTAAATACAATCTCTTCAAAGTAAGACCTCAGCCATATGAAAATTGCAATTAGAAAAATGTTTTAAGACTCATTGAAAACAACAATTTAAATTGAAGAGCATTGCAGTGGAAAACAGTTGGGACAACTGGGATCTAACTCTACATAAGGGAGTTGCCAGGAGCACTGTAATCCCATCACAGTGAAACGGCATCTCTCGTAACCCAGAGGCTGGCTGTTCCTGCCTTGTTCGGTGTATTGCTTTGGACCCAGGCTGAGGTTTTCTGTGCCTCTCAGTGTTTGCTGTGCTGCACAGCATTAAGTCATGTAGGCAGCATCAAGCTTGGATTTATGTGTTTCTCCAAGGTAGACACTCAAGATGAAACACTGGAATAGTGAGCGTGCACATGTTCAGGTACACCTTGTGCAACTGGGCGAAGCTTTGAAGAGCTTGAAGGATTCCCATGATTAGGGCTACTTTCAAATGAGCTGGAAGAAAGACATCCATACATATGAAGCAAGGCTGTGCAGTTGCCTTTTGAGCTTCACTTTCAGTGACTTAATAAAACTATTCTTTTTGAATAACAGATTAAACACCTTAGAAGTACTTTTGCGTGGTGCTTAGCAAAGAATTTGTATAAGGATGTTTAAGTATCGTGCACCAATTTGAAAGGGATGATGGGTTGGTATCAACTCTTCCACATGTGCAAGCGCCTTATGCATAAAACTTTCATAAACATGTATGGAACTTTCTGATACAGCTTAAAAGGATTTTGCTACATCATTGTGGTGATGTAGTCACTGGTGATGCTAGAGCAGTGCTAAATAGCTCTTTGAAGAGACTCCAAAATGAGTAGTTCTGTGTGTAGCTAAACTAAGGAAATGTTATTTTCTTTAGATATTTCTTATAGTTGGGCTCTCAGTGAAGGCAGGATATACACTGTTCTCAAACTGTCTGGAAATAGGCTTTGAGACCCTGTTTTTGACAACTTTTGTTGAAGTTAGCAACCAGGCTCAGTCGTTTTGCATTTTAGGGGGAAGGAAGAAGTGGAGACAGCGTAGTAACAGAAAAGTGCTGAAATCCCTAAAAGTCTGAAGGAGGTTTCAAACAAAACTGTGTTTCATTTTGCTGGGTGCTTTGTTCACTTGACAAATTGTGCAGGATGTTAGATATGTTGCAGTGGCAATTTTATGGTTGTTATAAGTTAGTAAGGGTGGTAATGGTATGAAGAGTATTCAAACACTGGAGGGAGTGCTCTGTGGGCACACGCAGCTTTTAAGGAGTATAGCTGACACCTTGTACAACTGATAAAGCACAGAGCCAAATCCCTGTCTGCTTTGCCTAGATACATGCCCTCCCATGTGGCTCTGCTAGGTCCCTTTGTTTTCTTTCCAAGGTTCTTGCAGTCAGGATGGTTGGATTCTTTTGTATGCCCCAGAAAAGATCTTAAATAATGTAGCTGGGCTCTTGACAGCTGAAACATCAGCTTCAGCTACAGAAATGAACTGTTCCCTTAAATTGCAGTGAGTGTACATTACCACATCAGAAGTGCCCATTAATGAAGGAAGTAGCAAAGAGCAGAACAAGCTGAAGGTCATACTTTCACAATTAAGTTGAAAAGGAACATAGCTTTCAGATTCGAAGCAACTCTCACTTTCTGAATCCTTTGCTTCACTTTCTGAAGTGAGGCAGGAAATCAGGCATGAATTTCTTTTCCTGTAATGAGCCAGAGTGCCTGTCCTCTAAGCACTGTAATACGTTCCAAATGAGCTTAGTTATCAAGAGCTTTCACAGAAGAAGTCAAATTGTCACTCGTGCATAGCTGAGAGCAGAAAATGAGTCTTCTGTTTACTCAATCTGGAATTTCTTTTATTAGTCCCCAAATTTTTGGATACTCGTGATTAAAAATATACTTTGTGCAGCTAAAAGCTGTGTTCTAGGGTGGCAGAGAGTTTAAGGATCTTCTTTCTTAAGCAGGAAATAAGAGGATCTAGATACATACATACCCTAAATACAATTGAAAACAAAATCAATAGACTTTGTTACAATTCCAATTTTAGGTTAAAAACTATGGAATGTGGTACTTGAGGGGGTTTTGTGTGTTATGTGCAAATGTAGTTTTAGAACTTTAAAAAGTACATGTTGGGATTTTCTTGTGAAGTGCTTGTAAGCAAACGTGACCTACTGATGTCAGTATGAAAATGAATTAAGAGTGATGTAAAGATCTTCCTTGTCCTGGAGGCTTGTGCTGGGCTGTCTTATAAAGACGTACCGATAGCTTATATATTTACTTATATTCCCCAAGGTGGTTGTCCCAAAACCCCAGATTCTTCTACTGAGCTCAAATGGTGAATGAAAGCTATAAAAGCCTTTGTCAGGTGAATGCTTGCCCGTTGATCTTTGTAGCCTCAGTAGAGCATGTCACAAGTTGGGGAATGAGCAGTGTATCGTGATGTACAGAACTGTGCTCCCTGTTCTGCCCTGTGCTTGCTCCAGTAGCAACTGCCCTTTACCACTCCTGATGCACAGATTGTGGGCAAAGAAACATCTGTGTGCAGCTGGCATTGAGGGAACCTATAAAAGCTGTCAGTATTTGTCCCTTGACATTTCTAGTGTTATACCCTCTACACAACTATGCACACATGCTCAGTCGCCCTCCCTCTACTGTCTTGAACTTGTCTTGGGCTTCTGCCCTCACTGCAAGCATACTGAAGGATATACTTTGTTTGTCAGAGGCCAGATCTCTGTAGTTTCAGGTTGGGAGGCTTGGCGTGTAAGCCAGGATCCTCAAGAAGAGTGGGTAATGACGTTTTAATAAAGCTCTTGATTTGTATGTTGCTAGGTGTGCAATTAAAACTTATTTTGTTTTAACGGAAATTGAGGCCTTCTCCTAGTTGAGAAGTCTTCCTGATTAGTGAATCCTTGGTTTGCAGGTCCCATAGGTTCTCTCTATAAATACATCACACGTAGCTGTGTCTGACTGATTCTTCACAGCTATGTTATTTACTTTGCCTTCCAGGTGTCCGAAAATATGGTAAAGATTTTCAAGCTATTGCAGATGTAATTGGCAACAAGACTGTTGGCCAAGTGAAGAACTTCTTTGTAAACTACAGGCGTCGGTTTAACTTAGAGGAGGTATTGCAGGAATGGGAAGCGGAACAAGGAACCCTGGCTTCTAATGGTGATGCTTCTGCTTTAGGGGAGGACACAAAAAATACTTCTAATGTGCCATCAGGAAAGAGCACTGATGAAGAAGATGAGGTGTGTTTTGTGTACCAGAAATAAGTAAGCATGGGTTGAGGAACAGCATTTATTTTAGTGATATAATGTAAGGTTAACTGGTGTGGAGTGGCAAACCGCATTCTAAAGAATGATGATGAGCTTGCATAGAACTTCAGCCAATGTCGTTAACCAGCTGGGAGCAGGACTGCACCTTTCATAGTGACAATCACGTTACTGTTTTACTGTTAAAATACACTTCTTGTTCTAGAAGAAGACTCTTGCTTCATAAATATTTTTAGTTCTGCTGTCTATAATGTTTTGGTTGGTGCTTTCTTTTCAGTAACTTCTCAGTTTTTTGGTTTTGTTTTTGTTTTTGTTTTTTTTTTTAAATGCTGTTTCCTGTGTAGTGGACAGTGGCAGCCCAACTGCATCACGTTCTGGCTGGGATGGCAGTTCACGCAGTCTTGTCTTTGTCCTTTGTGCAGGCACAAAGCACTCCGGCCACTCAGTGTTTAGGCCCTTCACCTCCAGCACAGGCATCTGCTCCAGCACCTACCGCTCCCATGGCAACTTTAAATCAGCCTCCCCCGTTACTTCGTCCAGCGCTTCCTGCTGCTCCTGCTCTCCACCGGCAGCCTCCGCCGCTCCAACAGCAGGCACGGTTCATCCAGCCAAGGCCGACCCTAAACCAACCTCCCCCTCCTCTCATCCGCCCAGCTAACTCCATGCCTCCTCGTCTAAACCCACGGCCCGTGCTAACCACGGTTAGTGGCCAGCAGCCACCCTCGCTTATTGGAATTCAGACAGAATCTCAATCCACTCTGCACTGAAGAAATAAAGCAGAATTATGCTAACTCCTACATCTGAAAAATCGAATCAGTGTACTTTTTCTTTTCCTTTTTTTTCTTTTTCCAAACAATGAAGGGGAGAAAAAAGCAAGCCTTCACAGCTGTCTGACCAGTCCTACAGAGGAGCAAGCTAATACCTACACGTGAATGACCACCTGTATAAAAGTATTTTTATGTCAAAGACTTGTACAGCAGAACAATGCCTACAATACAGCCCTCCTCTATACAAATACCTGTTGAAGGAAGCTAACTTCTTCAATGAATAAATGTTCAACACACCAAGATTTTGTTTAACTGATTTTTACTCTATTTATTTTATTACAGGTCTTTGTAGTCAAGCATCTAACTACAGGAAAGTAGCCTGGCAAATCTAGGGATAGATAATATTATAGGAGACTTAAATGTAGCTTTGGGGGTTTGTGTGTGTGTGTGTGTGTGTGTCTGAATTTTTGGTTTTATTTTTTACTTTTTAGTGCAAAAAACAATAATGGCCTTAGGTTCAGAAGTTTGGCCCTGTTTAGGTAACAGTAGAAGCATTTCATGCACTTGTAAAACGTAGGTGTTTTTTCTCTTTGTGTTTTTCCCAGAACACTTTTTCTTGTTTAAAAAAGGTACTGTCTTGTTAAATACTCTGAAAGAGCATTCTGAAGCCTCAGTGAGCTATTGTACCAAACTTACTAAATGTCATGCGTGTTCTCCTCATGGAAGTTAACTGAAAACAGGATTCCAGTTTCCTGCTGCAGTGTCTCTTGTGGGCTGGGGTGGAGAAAAAGGCAGCAACTGCCAGCACCCAGGGGGGTGACAGGAACCATATAACAAGAACCATTAATTTGTTATTCCACTCATTCCTCTGATTTAAGTACAGTGGAATTTAATTCATCTGAGAATGGCTGCCTGCAGTTCATGTATGCTAGATCATTGATACCTGCCTAAGAATTCATGAGGGAAGTAGAGAGGCGGGTGGCGGCAGTTGAATATTGTGGCCGTAGTTACCTGCTGCCAGCCCAGTCTTGCTGTTAAATCATTATCTCTGATTTCTGCTGCTTCTGGCAGAGCTGATTTCGTCAGGTTGAAGTTATCGTGGGGTTCTCTGTTTGCTTTGTTTTATTGACTAAGTAAAATCTGCATTTGGGTATTATTGCTTCCAAAGTTTGGAAGATCAAAAGGTTTTCTTTCCACTGCATTCTTGTCTGAAACCTTGATTTACGCCCAGCAGTGTTTTGGGAGTGGGTTTTCTCAGTATTTTGTTCAGTCTGTTTCTTTTTTTTAAGTAGATGCCTCTACCCTCCAAGTAAACCAGGCTGCAGATCTTGAGTTTGAAAACTGTGTGATCTGAACCAAGCTACTGAAAAAATATCTCATTCTTGAGGATGTAATAACATTCATGTTGACTGCCATGCTATTTAGAAGATTAGTTTTGCTTATAGCTGAAATGGTGATTGAAAATCCTTTTAAATCCATTCTGTTATTAACTAGATATGCCTTGACTAAAATGAGCCTTTATTTGAAAATGGAATGTGCTCTCCCTAGGCTTTTTCACAGATAAATTGAATGGTTTAATGATCAGTTTAGCGGCCGGCTGAGGTCTTTTTTTATGTGCAAAGGGAAGTTCTTATAGCATCAGATCCTCTTTCATTTGTAAATCTAGTATTAAGGTTTGATAGCTGTGGCCTGAATTGCAGTTAAGGTATTGACCTTTATCGTTTAGTTCTTCATTTAAAAATATTTTCAGATGAAACTGGAGAGATTTTTCTTTCTGAACAGCTTTCCCTGCTGTGCTGAGGTCTCGTACAAAAGGTCCTTCTTAGACATTTTCTTTTGCATCAGAGTAGAAGCTTACATGCCACTACGTGAGCATCAGATGGCCAAGAGAAGCAGCATTGTACAACAAGCACTGAGGAATTTGGGGTCACTGCAGCTTGTGTTCTGGGAGTCATAAGTGTCCCCTTGTTGGCTACACAAAGCTGGCTGCTCTTCAAAACCAATCTATTACGTTTTGACATCCTTAGTATCTCAGTTTAACTGTTAAGAGTGATAAGATACATCTTCAGGATTTCTTTTCTTATTTTTCTGTCTTTCTTTTTAGCATTGAGTCTCCCAGGTGTGTGTATTGTACCTTTGCTAATTTTTGTCTTGTCTCTTGTCAGTAGACTTCAGTATGCAGAATGTTGGGTGTTGCAGTAGCAGTTGGCCACCACCAGCTGCTCCAAAACTGTTCAGTACATTGTAATTCCGTTTAATCTTGTTTAAATATTTGATGACTGGGCAAAGGTGCTGTATTTGAAGGGGGGAGGGAGGGTCAGAGATGGGTAGTATTTCTTAATTTCCATACACTGTAGCACACAGTAGGGAACTCCTAGCATTTGTAGTACTAAGTAAGTATGTACATAGCAAAATGTCTTTATTGTGTGCTTCGCAGAATATGTGCATACAGTTTGCACGTCCTGTTTTCGGGGGGGTAGGTTTGTTTTAAGCAGTGTTTGCCTGGAGAGTGATATGCTTGCTGCTTAATCAAAGGATTAAAGTTTCAAAGAAATCTGTGTCTTCTATTTTTATGTACCTTGTAATGGTCTAATATGTTAGGGCCCTTATACTGTGATTCTCTTCTAAATTCATTTATATTTTTTTAAGAATTAGAAATAAAATTATACAATGGTGTTGATTTCAGTGGGGCATTTCTTTTGCCATATCCAGTCTCCTGTTTTGTAATGTAGTAATGAACTCTGACTTCAAGGTTGGCTTAATTTTGTCACTTTAAAGAAAAAAATGTAAAATGTTTGCACACTAAAGTTTGGCAGAGAACGTGTATCCTACATTGTTCAAAGCTAATGTAACTCTACAGCTTTTTGTACAGTTTATTTTAGTTAATAAAGCAAAACGGTACTAAAAAAATGCCAGATTTTGCAAATGCAAGGCATAATCGGAATGATGTCTTCCAGGAGCAACACTTGCACCATATGGATGTACAAGAACTGTCAGATTGAATTGTTGCCCTTTAAATCAGAATGGGTTTGAAGTTAAGCAAGTATTTCTGCGCTAATAAAACATCACACATCCTAGTAAAGTAGCTTAATTTGTTTTACAGTTGATGGTGAGCAAAAGGAGTTACACTTCCTTCTGTCTTTAGTTCATCTCTTATAGTGTTGGGATTTTCTTAAATCATCAAGCATTTATTCTGGAAGCTTCACAGAAAACAGAACCCAAACCAGTAGCTTACAGACATGGGAGTTTGTGTATGAATAGAGCAGAACTGCACCCGTTAGGATAAAGGTTACAACTATGCTGTGCCTCTTGCTAGCACCAGAACGAGTAGGCTGCAGTTGAAGCTGATGCTAGGCAGAAGCACAAAGAAAATTAAAGGCAGGTTGTCAGGGCAAAGACAAACATCTTTGTCTTTATCATCATTTGTTTAGAGGCGTGTTTCCAAATGCAAAGGAAAACTGTAGAGGAGTCAGCTCTTTCACAGCTCCAGTGCAAAACCATGCCCTGGAAACGGCACTGAATACAGCTTGCCAGTTTTAATACACATGGTGAACCTCCAGCTTTTCCTGGGGCTGCAATAGCTAAACCTCGGAGTGTGCCTTTCTCTGAGCAAGCTAAAGGCAGGCACTGTTGTGACAGCCATCTGCTTTAAGATCACAGGAAGCTGTGTGTGAGACACACAGGGCAAATGTAAACGCTGTATCACCACTTGCAGTCTGTTACTGACAAATTGGGCATCAAAAATCTATAGCCGGGGAGGGAGGAGAGGCAAAACACACATACAACACTATCTAGACTATTTAATAAGCCCAGTGCCAACTTTTACATGACAGATATCCTTAAGGTTGATACTAAAGCACAAACAATGTGCTTCATTTTCAGCACTAGTAAAAGCTGCTGCTTTGCAATTCTGTTATTCTTTAATCTTAAAGTGCTCTCAGCATAGTTTTGTACACTGAAATAATCATAAATCCACACTACTGACTTGGAAGTTTGCCCTTGGACTGGCACGAAAGGGAGTGTGGAGGTTCAGGGATGGTGATCCCTGCTGCTCCTTCAGGGATGGGACTTTGTCACGATGCAAACCAGGATTCCTTAATCATGACATCATTAAGATCCAGCGAGTTATGCTCAGATACCTGATGATCCTTTTGGCAGCTCTTTGTCACCACAACACTCCATTTTGGGGTTCTGCAGTAGGAGGATCGTGAGTGCAGCAACTTGGGAACCAGATCCCACCTCCAAACTATTCATTTACACTTATAAATATTTACTTAGGGAAACATAATGCTGTCCTGATGGATGTTCTTGTGGACCTCCTGGCCAGGTAGTACCCCGGCTAGTCAGGATATTCCTAAAAGCTAAAACCTAGTCCTCATTTTTTGCAGGAGGGAGTGTTTTGAAAGCTCTCTGTTGCAGGAGCAGCATCTACGCCTTTGCTGGACTCCCTGAATCAACGCAGGGTATGGACTGACACCCTTGGCAGTGGCAGGTCCGAGTCATTATAGCAGAAGCATCATCTTTCTGAAACCATTCGATTACTATTACACTTAGTACTTATCTTAAGACAACGCAGGTAACACAGCCCGATTGTTTCTTTTTCATTCACCTTAGTGCTTTTTGTGCAGGGTGTTTTCCTTAGAGCCTGGTTTTCCTAGAAGGAGTTCAATGTGGAAAACACGACAAAGCTCAGCAGCAGCTGATGGGGAGTGAGTGAGCAGTGAAAACCGCATCGTGCTGTTGGCTGGAGGATGGCTGCGTTGGCAAAAACCCCTTCGGTATGTCTTCAGTTAGCAAGTAACACCGGAGCGTGGTAACAGCCACTGTCTGTGTTCCCTGCGTTTTTAGCGGCGGGGTCCGTTTGCTATTTCAGTGCCGACGGTGTAAATAGCAACCGAAGAGTAACTGTACACGCCCGGCGGGCAGCGGTGTGCGGCCGAGACAGGAGCGGCTTGAGCCCCTCG